TGCCTTTTGCAATCTCTACAAAGACTGGTATGATTTTTTTTTTTTTTTTTTTTTTGGAGAGGTTTTTGCTATAGAGCATGTGCACTCGCCAGACAGAGACAGAGAGACAGAAAGTGAGAAATCACCCCCCAGGGGGAATGGCCACGCTGCAATCCCTTCTCCTCTCAGGATCTTGGGCATGCATGCACGCACACGTGCCTGGCATGAGTTTTAAGCCACTGGGTCTGGGATGTGAAGCGTGGTTGACTACATGGGCGTTCAGCGACATAGCCATTATGCTAACTGTTGGTCCCCAGACTGCTATGATTCTTGACTGACGCTGGCCCAGCCCTAGCTGTCCAGTCAATTCAATACATCTCTATTTTTTCTCCTTTTCCCCATTAGGATGGATGAAAATTATAACCTCTTGCCTCATGGAGTCAATTTCCAAGATGCCATCTTTCCAGACACTCAAGAAAACAGAAGAATGTTTTCCAGCCTTTTCCAGTTTGCAAACTGTTCCCATGGGCAGCAGCTATTGGCTTTCTCCAGTGACTGGGAGATCCAGGAAGACAACAGGGTAAGAAGAGCTGGCTGGATCCTGGCCCATAGAAACACAACAGGGTTGTTAGAACTTGTGTGGCTCTTGTGACCAAAGAAGTCAAGAATACTCTTGCAAAAGTCTAGACCAGAGTGTATTATCTCTGCTTGTCTCCCTCCCTCCCAGCTGCTTTGAACAGTCACACGTTCATAAATTTCAGATGCTTGAGCCTTTATTATTTGATAAGAGGTTATTCACAAAGTATGGGAAGAAGATGAAGGTTGACACATTGTGCCTCCGTTTCCTCTTCTGCAAAATGGAGACAGTAGTCACGCCTGTGTCATAGGGCTCATAGAATATGATTTAAATATATAAAAGATGTAAATTTGTAAGTCCCCTGGCACAGTGCTTAGAGGAGTAATTGTTCATGGGAGCCGTCATGGCTATCCCTTATTATTGATGTTTACAGCACAGAACATTAAGGAATTGTTTGAGAGGAAAGAAGTGTCCTCAGGGAAATGAAATAAAACAACTATTACCCAAATAGCTAACACTTCTATGACTGTAGTTAAAATTGTTACAATAGAGAGAGATATATGGTAACCAAGATGGTTGAGGAAAGTGAGGGTCAGGATTATTTAGGGTGTGAAAATAAAAAAGTGTCTTCCAGTCTGGGCCAAATGCCACAGTTGTGAGGAAATCTTGGAAGTCATCACTTTTCCAAAGCAATAGCATTGCCACAACAGAGTTGGGACAGTAGAGGGGTCAGGTCAGATTAGGCCTGTGGGGCAGTGGGTCAGCACTCCCAGTCCTCCATCAAAGACATTTTTTGGGCACTGTGTCAGATCTCT